ACAAAGTAAGGAGAGCTCAGGAGAAACTTGTCAACCTAGAAGAGGAGTTTCGATAAGGGATAAGAGAAAATGGAATCAATTGTTTGTTCTTTGATGGGAGAAGGATGACACCTGCAAGTGTCTTGGGCGAAAGTTGGAGATTCTGGACAAGCCGGAAACCCTGCCATGGTGAAGGCGAGAACACCACTCCCTGCTGCAGTGAACCAGGAGGAAGTATTTGTGGCATTTCACCCAGAGAAAGATGAGATCAGGAAACCAGCTGAGATAGTGGCAGTATAACATTGTGAAACTGCCTGTGAGAGAGGAACGACCAGACCCTGCAGGCCATTGAGGACAGCAGCACCAACACGTAACACAGGTGGCTGGCAACATACAGGATACGGAAGATTGGGAGGAAGCCGGTCTGGATTGCTTGTGACCTCCACACCAACGAAGCTGCCACTCAGGACATCTGATCCGTGAGCTGATGGCAAGACTCTTTCAAACAACAGATGGTCTGGTCCTTCGGTGATGCTGGACTCTGCCACCGAAAGTTAGAAATAACCGAGCTTTGAAAAAATCACAGTTGGCCTCCACCTGCTGAGCTTGCACATACTCGTCATTGATTCCACCTGGAGTACCGACCAGTACTATGGTTAAGGCTGATTTGCAGTGCCATCAAAACTGGGGTCATGCCTGATAGACTTGTTTACCTGCAAAGATAGGTCCAGTCTCACATTCTAGGTGGCTCACAACGGCCTTTGGTGGTTCTGCAGAATTTGGGTCGCCATCATAATCTGGAAAGGGAACCATTACAACCTGAGACTTATTGTCCACTCCACGGGAGGTTCATTTCTGCCAAATTGGTTCAACACCAAGGTCAAGTCATCGCTCTCCAAGGTCCGAGGCATGTTCTTCCAGCTTGAGCTCCTGGAGGAGTCAGCCAAGGAAGATTTGTTCAGATTGTGGAGCAGATCAGAGGAGATCTTCCTGGTATGCTCATCCCGAGGCAGTTCTGCATAAATGCTCTGCAGTAAGGATGAGGGAGGAGAGAAGAGGGCAGTCAAAGTGATCTTGGATATGACTTATGAGAGGATTCACATGACGTAATCAGTTGGTGACTATTCCTTCAGGGTCAGGAAGACTCTGAAGTCAATCTAGGTGCTAAGACCCTCACTGATCTTAGATCTGGATATCCAGGCTGGCAGTGAGCCCCCTACCAGCAGCCTCACCCAATGTTCAAGCCAGAGTTTCCTGGACAACCCCATGCATGTCCTGCCTGGCCCTCAAGACACCCAGAGTATAGAGCTGCTGTGTACAGCAAAGGAGCGAGGCCAGCAGGTTGGCATGTACAGCCAGGAGAGGGGAGGGAAGGCTACATCCGGTGCCTAGGTGGTCAGCAGGAGGTGATGAGTAGAAACAGAAGCAAGAAAGACATGTTCTCTATGGTGTGCAGCAACACCGGTCAACAGTAGTAAAAACCGGGGTTTTGTATTTGATGATTTTGTTTTCTAAAAGGAATATTAAATTTAATAATGTGTCAAGATCATTCGCTCAATTATTCTGGATCATTTTCATCCTAATAAATTAACCTGGATACATTTACTTTACTTTAAATAAGCTATTTAGTGGTGTTGGTAAAAGGGTGGGAATACTGAATTTTCATAAGATTTCGTTGTAAAATTTACTCGGTATAAAAAATGAAAACTTTTCAAATCTGAAGATATTCACATGATTCTGCACATAGAACTACATCATTAATACCATGGGCCGATTTTTCAAACTCAAAAAAAAAAAATTCGCACCAGATAGACACCCTAGTACCGCCCGCAGGGTAGTGTATTGGGCCCGCTGTTGTTTGTTGTTTCTTAAATGACATGCCTGACGTTGTACACTCCTCCATACAAATGTTTGCCGATGATGGCAAGTTATTTCAGAAATTAAGAACCAAGCGGACTGTGAAGAGCTGCAGAAGGACCTCTGGGCTCCAGGAATGGTCGAAGAAATGGCTGCTGAGATTCAATGTCACGAAGTAAGAGGATGCACCTGGGGCGTACCAACGGTAAGGCGAGGTATCATATGTCCCAACGGGATGAAGAAAATGCACTTCAGTTGAGACTGTGTGTGAGAAGGACCTAGGTGTGTATGTTGACAATGAGCTGAAGTTCTCGGCCATTGTGAGAAGTAGGTAAATCAGGCAAATAAATTATTGGGTCTTATAAGAAGGTCGTTCAGATATCTAGATGGTCCGTCCTCGTGACGGATCTTCAGGAGTGAAGTGCTTCCCCATCTGGAGTACTGTCACCCCATCTGGTCCCCGAGATATGCTAGGGACTGTCAGTTGGTTGAAAATGTTCAAAGGAGGGCCACCAAACTGGTGCCTGCACTTCGGCACCTCAGCTACCCTGAGAGATTGGGAGCGCCTGAACTTGCCTAGCTTATACTACAGACGGGCAAGGGGGGACCTAGTTGGAGGTGTATAAGCATCTCAGGGGCACTACTCAGTTGAGTGTCCTTACTTGGAGCTGGCGGACGCACTCTCCCCACAAGGGGTCACAGCCCGAGATTGAAGAAGCCGCAAGTCCAGAAAACCGTGAGGGCAAACTTTTTCGAGTGAGGGTTGTAAACTCTGAACACCTACCAGAGAGTGTTGTGACGCACTGAGTGTGAGCTCTTTCAAGAGAAGACTTGACCAACACTGGAGCGGGTTCAGGAACATTCAGGAGTCGTGCATGCCCAGTATTTGCCAACAAAGGAGAGAGAGGCGTGACCTGATGCTATGAAGCGATTTTGGTGAAGAATATAAATGAAAAGAGACGTGACCGATCGCCCAAGCAGCTAACAAGCCGATCAGTGGCGAAGAGGATAAATGTAAAGTAAAAGTATACAAACACTATTATCTACCATACAAACATACACAAACTATTAATGTCACTATACAAACACTATTATCTACCATACAAACTATTAACGTCACTATACAAACACTATTATCTACCATACAAACATACACAAACTCTTAGCCCAGACAATACTTATTGCATAACACAACAACCAACTTTTAAGCAAATAATAATATTTACTTACTTAAATAAACTCAATGGTCGTTTGCGTTGATTTTCGTAACGGGAATTATGTTGTAAACCCATAAAGTAAATGATGAAAGATAAAGTAAAGTTCCTCCATTACATTGAGACCTCGAGAGAAATTGTAAACACGCATGAGAGATGAATTACGAACTTAAATTATTTATTTTTTATTGCATGGGTGAAGGATATCGACATTAATTAGCTCATTAAATTAGTTAGGAATAAATAATACTCTTGAAGCAACAATATGTACAGTAAATTGCATAAAATATCTATTACTCTCTCTAAATTTAAAATAGCGAATCTTGCTGCCTGACTAAAGTACAGTATTGCTGACTGACGTACAAATATCTAACTAGGCTTCTTTATTGAATGGCTGAATCATAGTTTGATATATCTAACAGTAAAATTAATTATCTTAATATTATTTAATTAAATGAGAAACTATTTTAGTTTTCTTTCACGTTAATTAAAATGTAAATTGTACACTCGGACGATACTTTTCCACCCCAGCTTATTTCACCTAAATATTAACCACCCTAACTTCACCTATCTCCCAAAATAGTGTTAGGTGAAATAAGATAGGGTGGATATTCTTCAGGTGATCCAAATAACCAGACATCATGATTCTGCTGGCAACCACCTGTTGAGCCCAGAACATAATGCCTGTAAAACAAACCACATAGCCATTTTTATGATATGCGTTATCTGTAACTTAATTGGGTGTTCATAAAATACTACTTCAGCTTGAGATATCGAGTTAATTATGCATTCTGGTAATTTTGGGGACATTTACTTGGTTATGGTACATTGGGGCTTTCCGACCACCGTTTCTCAACCATTCCCTTTGATAACGACCTATATGAGAGATCCTTGTGAGGAACTGGGGACAATGTCTCTATTAATCTGGCTTCAAATTCGGCCTCATACTGTTTTTATGAACGCTTTCTTGTGTCATGCTTTTGAACAATAAGATTTTGTTTCAACAAGGGGTGGCTCATCACCTCAGCCAAGTCCTTGTTTATTCATTAGTGAGGCTTCCACCTTCATTCACTGTTAAGCCTTCTTGTCTGTGAATGCACTTTTCACATTTTTCATTTCTCTGCCACACAGTTGATGCACATTTGGACCTCAACACCATGGTGACTGAATCCATCTCTTAAAGAGTTCCAACACCTTTGTACACAACTGAATCAACCTCAAAAAGAATTCAACACCTTTGTAGGTAACAGAATCCACCTCAAAAGTGGTTCAACACCTTTGTAAGAAACTGAATCCACCTTAAAATTGGTTCAACACCCTTGTAAGAAACTGAATCCACCTCAAAAGTGGTTCAACACCTTTGTAAGAAACTGAATCCACCTCAACATGGGTTCAACACCCTTGTAAGAAACTGAATCCACTTCATAGGGAATTTATTTCAGTTGGCCCCTCAATTACATCATGTAAACCTTGATTGTTAATTATTTTCTGTTATTTCACATTGACAAAAATGTTCACAATTACTGTTCCATCCCCAAACATGTGTAGTCAAATAAAGTCACTAATTTGATGATTTTATTGGTAAAATATTCTACTTGGTTAACAATTTGTCAGATTTCATAAGTTAATATGAGGATCACCTGAAGATTAGCACCCCCAGCTTATTTCACCTGATGATTAAATTGTTTGATGTTAACTTGGGGTTGGGTTAATATTAAGTTAGGCTAGGTTAGTAATAGGTTGAGTTAAGTTAGCTGCGTCATTACCATTAGGTTGGTATTGAATATGTTAGGTTAAGTTAGGGAGGTACTACTGCCTGGGAAGATATTGGAAGCATAATGTGTTGTCTAATGGTAGACCCTGCTGCCATATGTGACCAAGTCCTAGGTTGATGATCTGACTTTCTGACTCATTTACACACAGTTGCAGGGTCTCAATTGTTTCTCTTACTACTGACAACACAACATACATATATTGTTTCTCACTGTTGATCTTTCTTCTTCAATTTTGTATTTATTTATAGTGCAATTAATTCCCCCTCCCCCTCCTTGTGTCAGCGACCTGTGCATGAGTGGGATAATCTCCATAAAAAAGGTTAGCTTAGGTTGGTGCTATATAAGTTAGGTTAATACTAGGTTAAGATTAAGTTAGGTTGGGATTAGATTGTTAGATTAAGTTAATATTATAGTGGTTAAAGTTCAGTTGAAATAAGCTATGAGTGTCTAATCTTCAGGTGAGCCAAATATGGTACAGATTACCTCGAGACAAAATATTTGAAGGAGACACAATCCCTCATTTTCCCTAGAACATGTCCGACATTCTCTCTTCCACGTCCTGTTAAGAATATATCTTATACTCTCCCCCAAGCTCTTTTCTCCCTGCCATCTCATCAAAATATATCCAGCAAACTATCCTCCCTGCCATCTCATCAGAATATATCCAGCATACTATCCTCCCTGCCATCTCATCAGAATATAACCAGCATACTATCCTCCCTGCCATCTCATCAGAATATAACCAGCATACTATCTTCCCTGTTAGAATATATCAGGAACACTCTCCTCCAGGAACCTCTTGTATCTGGCCATAAAGGCAGCGATGAAGGCCTCTATGTGATATATAGCCTTTGAGCCCAGGTTTAGGCGGTGTTCGTGGTAGGCGGCTAGACTGGTCACCTCAAACTTGAGTTCCCCGTCGCAGTTACGGACCAGCTCCTTCAGTAACCCCTGCAAGTGCGTGATTGTCATTTATTATGGACGTATTTAGGGCAAGGAACCTCGGCTACCTGTTTTATTTTATTTATTTATTTTAATATTTCACCTGATGATGAGACACCTTAATGCTACCTGAGGAAGTAGAGTTAGGTTAGGTTAGCCTAGGTTAACATAAGGTTAGTTTAAGCTAGGTTGATTTTAGGTTAACATTAGGTTAAGGTTAGGTTAGCCTAGGTTAACATTAGGTTAGTTTCAGCTAGGTTGATTTTAGGTTAACATTAGATTAAGTTAGGTTAGGTTAGCCTAGGTTAACATTAGGTTAGTTTCAGCTAGGTTGAATTTTAGGTTAACATTAGATTAAGTTAGGTTAGGTTAGCCTAGGTTAACATTAGGTTAGTTTCAGCTCGGTTGATTTTAGGTTAACATTAGATTAAGTTAGGTTAGGTTACACAAGGTTAACATTAGGTTAGTTTCAGCTAGGTTGATTTTAGGTTAACATTAGATTAAGTTAGGTTAGGTTACACAAGGTTAACATTACGGTGGTAAATCTTAAGGAGAAATATACTTGGGCTAATCTTCGAGTCATCCATTAAATTGACACCAGTTCTCATACACCCTAACCAATCGTAACCACTTGAACTGTGACTCATCTGACCAATAATAATAATAATAATAATAATAATAATAATAATAAATAATCTGTAACTAATAATAATTAAGCAGAAAAAAAAGACAGATTTATTCTCAAGATACACAACAACACTCGGGATAAATACAGCAAATATACATAACCTCTAATGTATTCTACTACATAACCTCTAATGTATTCTACTACATAACCTCTAATGTATTCTACTACATAACCTCTAATGTCTTCTACTACTGGGCTGAGTTGATGAGCGTTCTTACCTTAAATATAACCTCCGGGGGTATACAGTGGGTGAGGAGCTCGTATATTCTCTCCCGCACCACCAGGAGTCGGTTTGGGCTCTGTTCCTCCATGATCTTGGTTGCAGTTTGTTGTAAGAAAATTTCCCAGTCAGGAGAGCTGATCGCTTGCTGAGCGGTGAAGGGGTACCTGTGATAATAATAGTAATAACAAGAACAATAATAATAATAATAATAATAATAATAATAATAATACAGTAATAATATTAATAAAAGGTCAATCTGTGATTTTTTTTAGATCTTAATTCAATGAAAACCCGACTGACTCCCCAAATCTTCCTTCCATTCCACATTAGTCTTCAGTGTCACATCTTAGCTAGCACAGCCAATAGTATAATACCACCTTTGTTTTAACTCATTCATTGGTGAGCCTCGGTGGACCTGTCTGCCAACACAGTGGGTTTCCAAAAGCACAATATTATATACCAGTACAGTTTAGCTGCCTGGACAGTGAAGGTATACAGACGATGCAGATACACAAAACAATGGTAAACAGTAAATCAATTTAACCAAGGATAGCCAACATATCCTACAGATGCTTATGTTCAGTAGATTCCCTGAAGATAAAGCAGAGTAAGTGTTATCGCCGCTGGCTACAGTGCTGGCGTCGCCTTACCCGAACAAACATTAAATCTCCCAGCCTGTGACCACGTGCCCCCCCCCCCCAGGCAACCTGTGACCTCATCAGATGTGGTGGCTGGGGGGGGGGGGCAGTGTTTACAGACAAGAGGCCCTGATTCTGCCAAGTGTATGGTTTAGAGGGTGGCGTGGCCGCCTGGCCTCCATGATGCAGATCACCCTCTCGAGTGATGCTGTGAGGACCAGCCCTCTGCTAGCAGTGGTGATACACTGACTCCCAATCCAGGCCAAGTTTTGTGCTGAAACAATTTACACAGTACTATTGTCCCTTGGAACACCACACTGGTTCGCATTGACCCGCACTTGTAAGTACAGCCAAAGTGATGACATACCCCTCAGTACTGAAATACTATTGTGGACTAACTATGCCTACTTGTTCCTGCCTTATCTGGAGCTATAAGACAACGTGGAATGAACTGTAACTAAGATTAATAGAGTTATGAACTTTGTATCACGTCACTATGCTTAATAATCAATTGTAATTAAGATGAAATCGTGTGAGACTAACTAATTATGTATCAGATAGATCACCAAGTAATACTAATGAATGCCTTGTTCTCTGCAGGTTTTGACCACATCAATAAATATTGAATGCGTCAATAGGTGGGTTTCAACCATTCCCTTCGACTTGCCGGTCACCTGAACGTCCTTAACTAAGGCGTTTACAGTAAGTAAAGAAGAAAGAAATCACAAAAACTTGACAATACAAACAAATATGGAAATAAGCCACTGTAGGTGTGCATGATCCAAGTACTGTATATGCTGATTACCACATAGGAAACAAGAAAACACTTAGTTCCCAAGCGCTTTCGTGTAATTCACATCTTCAGGGGTGAGTACAGACTCACCCCTGAAGATGTGAATTACACGAAAGCTTTTGGGAACTAAGTGTTTTCTTGTTTCCTATGTAGTTATCAGCACAAACCAATATATAAACTCACTGTTGCACTTTACAGGCCTCACACATCAGCAGCGCTCGGCGTAAGTTACGACCGGATTTTTCTGAGATTCTCTTGGCCAATTCTACTGGCAAGATGAAACCTTCCTTCTTGCATACACTCTGAAAAATTCCCAAGTAAGTTTAGTGACTATGGAAGAGGAACACTACAGTAGAATATATTTAGTAAGACAGGTTTGAAGTTCTGTTACAAGTAGTGTATACAGTGAGTTCTGCTATAACGCGTGTTTTGATAACGCAAATTGGCTCTAACGCGATTTATGAATAGAGGAACGATATTTGTATAACGCGAACACTTGTTTGCTGTAAAGCGATTTTTGCTTACTATTTCTCCAATTTTGTGGTATTAACTGTGAATATGGTAAAGAAGAATATCTCCAAGAAGCGTTCTGGTGATCGAATTCCCGGTGATGATCGTAAAAGAAAGTATATAACACTTGAAGAGAAGCTCGATGTTATCAACCTCAAAATCACCCTTCTCCCCCATCAAGTTATATTCATATTTTTTCAAGGTAAAGTGTTACATTTACTGTATGATTTCATTATTAGATATGATTGTAACATTTATTTAGACTGTGCTGTCCTTTGTGTTAGGCTAACTACTAATTTTTTTTTCGATTTCGAGTAGTAATCTGCACCTAACCCTATTTTCTCCATAAGCCCTGTTATTTCTATTACGCGATTTTCTATAACACGATATTTTACAAGAACACAACTATCGCGTTATAGCAGAACTGACTGTATAGCGAGTTATAATTTGCCATGACCGTAATTATAAGGTTGGTAAATAAGTCTTCGTATAGTCTCATAAAAATACACACACATTACCATACAGATTTTTTCAAGGAGATAAGGTGTATACGTGAATATACAACAACAATGCCCTCACTTGGAAGACATCACAAAACATGGAGGTCTTATGAATGACACCAACAAACCACAGTTTCCTCCCTCATTACCAAGTGAGGACAATGCTGCTCTTGTCCTACCATCATAAAAAACCTCAATATTTTACCTGTAGTATCTGTGATATTGCCAATTCGGAAGGAGCAGCGACTCTCACCCCTAAGCACCTACTGCGGATGGCTGGGATCACCTTGGAGGTAGAGTTAGCGCAGAGAATCAATCGACACGTGGCCATGTACTTTTCCATGGTGCGGCGGAGGGCGTGCTGGGCGTCTTTGGTCAGCTTGTCAACCTCCGTCAACACCACCACTGGAAGGAGCGAGTCATTCCGTTGACACTAGTTAATGGCTGTTTAGCGGAGTTGAATTGTTCTAGTATAGTAAATATCTTCATAATTGTCAATTACTTTATGGCTAACCTGTGTAAGTGTTGTGGAAAATGGCTGTAAAATGGTGGTGATGGTAATAGTGATGGTTGTGGTGGTAATAATAATTGTGGTAGTGGTAGTAATAATCATGGTGGTGGTAGTATTAGTGATTGTTTTGGTGGTAATGGTTGTGGTAGTGGTAGGGATAGTTCTTATACTATACCTGTGGTGTAATGGTCAGCATCCTCGCCTCCCAAGTGAGTGGACCCGGGTTTGATCCCCGGACAGGGTGAAACTATGGGAAAGTTTCTTTACACCATTTGCCTGTCTACCAGCAGTAATTGGGAACCTGGATGTTAATTGATTTGCGGACTGTATTCAGAGGTAATGGTTAGCCAGTGCAGTTGGCGAGTTGTCTGGTCTTCTCAGACTACCGTATTCCTTGACACTAGGTCATGCAGCTCGTTAATTTGGGGTGTGGTTGTTGTGTTGGCAACAGCTTCTACACCTTAACAAATTCACGCCTAGGTGGCCCTTGGGCCGGCCATCCTTGATTTTGAGGGGCTTCCATTATTATTATACTATACCTCAGTTAGTTGATGGTAATACAACACAGAAAGAACAGCACAAGTAATAACTGCTCAGGATCACATGAAGAACAGACACCCCAGCTTATTTTACCTGATGATTTACCACACTAACTTACCTGGGAATGTTAGATTAGTGCTGGGGGAGTTAATCATCGTTGAAATTGTTGCGTCTACTCTGCCACATTACCCTGATTTTTCACTCCCCCACACACCTTGGGCTCGCTGGCCGCCTGTGTCCAGCTGCTGCACGGAGGCGCATAGTTTTAATGAGTTCTTGCATCTCACCACGCGGTCGTAATAGCCCACGCCACTAGGGTTGACTCAGACAGAAGTTAAGGGTTGATGGTGACGATAAGTCTAGCTTTTTCGATGGAGTCTGAAGCAAAACAATAAGAAAATTTATCACAGTGAACATGAACCTAACCTAACCCAACCCAACCCAACTTAAACTAAGTGTAAAACAATAAGGAAATTTATCACAGGAACCTAACCTAACCTAACCCAACCCAACTTAAACTAAGTGTAAAACAACAAGGAAAATTATCACAGGAACATTAACCTAACCTAACCCAACCCAACTTAAACTAGCTTACTCTAATGCTACCCAAATGCAACCTAACCTAACCCAAGATGGACTTAAACCAACCAAAGTTTTGGTTGCTCAAAATATAACCGATATCATCTGATAAATAAACATACAAGACTGTTGCATGAATATTCTGAATGAACATCAGTGGGGGTTAGGTTAGGCTAGCATTAGGGTGGTTAACCGTCAGATAAAATAAGCAAGGGGGTGTCTAATCTTCACGTCACCCCAAAAATAATAAGGAGGGGGGAAGGGGGGTGTCTACAGGCCCGGATTATGGGGAGGGCGTACTGGATGGATGCACGCCCAGGGCCCCCCACATCTAGGGCCCGCCCACAACATTGTAAAAAAAAAAAAAAAAAGTTTTAAAAACCTTTACCACAGAGCGATAAACAAGTGGAACAGATTGCCTAACACCCACTGTGGACCACTTACTGTAACTCCACCCGGCCGCCACAAATATTTCCAACTAAAACTCGTGTTTGGTGAACTGATTTAACTTATTTAACAGAGATTATAATAAAATAATAAAAATGCTGTATAAATAAGTGAACACAACACCCACACAAACTTCTCCAAGATCCAAAACTTATTCTTCAATCAGCAGTAAATTCGCTGGTTTCCTTGAAAGAAAGCGAGACAGTTTTGATGCCTACGAGGAAAAATCAAAAGATCTGGCAAGAAGCACCGAGTTTGTCCATTCAGGTCGTTAGAGGAGACCAAAAGTGCGGCTCGCTCCACTGGATTATGGACGTTCAAGGGAAGTGGATCTCAGTCCAACAGACAATTTCCAAACAAAATGCTTCCTCACAGTCATTGATCACCTCGTGATATCCCTAATCGAAAGGACTTCTCCATACATGTTGGTGAAGGAGAGCTTCGGCCTTTTAAGCAATCTGGAAACCATATCAGCCGATGCCATTCATTCTGCTTCAGAAAATCTTCAGCAAACTTATGGAAAAGATATTGATGAAAACATCTCCAATGAAATTATTCAATTCTCGTCTCTGGTAAAGTTGTGTGCAAAAGCCGCGGATGAGCCCAATGAGTCGTTTTATTACAGAATTATAAAGGAAAACGATGGCTTACAATCAGCATTTCCAAATGTAGAAACGGTGTTAATGTCTGGTGTTAATGGTCTCCAATTATACCGGGGAGCGTTCCTTCTCAAAAATGAAACCGATCAAAAACAGACTGCGGACCACGATGGGCCAGGAGAGACTCAACAATCTGAGGCTGTTAAGCACCGAGTCAGACATTTCAAGAGAACTTCCATTTGACAATGTGATACGTTTATTTGCCAGAAAAAATCACGAAAAGTGCATTTGTAAATGAATGTATACGCTTTCTTTGAATGGAATAAATAATTTGTAAATGTGTCATTATTACTAGATTTTATTGTTTCTATTGACCTTGGATATTACCTATATTTATTTTCAGTTGTCAGCTGGGGCCCCCAACCCCTTAATCCGGTACTGGGTGTCTAATCTTCACGTGATCCAATACAAAAACTTACTTGAAAATTCTGATGCTCAATACGAAGTCTCTCCACACCAGCACCGTACAGTTCCCGCAGTAGACACATGATGCGCGTTTTCTTGCCTGCTCCTGGTGGCCCATACACGAGGAGATGGGGAAAGTCACCGCACTCAACCTGGAAAACAGAGGAGGTGTGTATAAGGTTTTTGACCACTTTGTCTACTCTGAAAACCTAACCTAACCTTTCCTAAACTAACCTAACCATACCTAAAGTAACCTCACCTTACACTTACCTAAACTAACCTAACTTTACTTATCCTTATGATCTTATCTAAACTAACCTGACCTTACAACTAAACTAACCTAACCTCACATAAACTAACTTAACCTAATCTTACTTATCCTAACCAACCTAACCTTACCAATCTTACCTAACCTAACCCAACTAAACAAAACCTAACCTTACCAACTCAACCTAACAAATATAAACCAAACAGCTTTTTACCTCCAGAAAATCCTATAAAAACTCGACAATTTACACTTTGCATAATAACTTACACGTTGTCTGAGGAAATGACTGAATTCAGACCCACAGACTATGATCACGAAACATGATTGAAGTAACGTATGTCTGATTACCACAAAGATGAACTATTGAGCCATATATATAATTTAAAATGCATAATCAGTCTAAAATTTAACCTCATTTACAAAATATATTACACAAAAATTCGGAAATACGCCATAACGTAATGAATTAAATAGACACCACTAACTACTCAAAAACATGTATAATAGCACTTTCTAAAGTTACTCTACATTTCTTTATATCATATGTGTTTTTAAATGCAAATAGAGAGAAAAACATCAAAATAATATTACAATTTCATTTTTCCACTTACCAGCTTCTTCAAATGTCCAGCTTGTTGTATATGGTAATCTAGTTTACTTAATTCCTTTGGTCTGTACTTATCAACCCACAAAGACATTTTAAACTGTCAAAAGTTGTGAGATAATTAATAGCGTTGAGAGAATTAGTGATCCAAGACCTGCCGGGAAAAAGCGCGGGAAGATGGGAGGACGATGTAAACAAACAATGGGAGGAATACGAGCCTACAGTTTTTTTTCATATATATTTAAAATAAATAACCTTTAATATATCAAAATTAAATACATCAAAAAGTAATGAAATCCTAAAAAATATATTTATTTGCAAGATTAGATGTATAAAATAAATAGTACAGAAAGACGAGCCTAAAATGTATAACTTATATTTAGTGGACAGATTATTCTAGTTTTTAGAATTTCACATATTATTCAAAACAAATCATAATTATTTTATAACACCTTATATATGTACTTCTTCCTTTATACCATTGTTTTTGTTTTGTTTTATTGTATTAATAAAAAAAATGTTTTACATCAACGTGATTTTAATTTCCCATCAATAGAATAAATGTACAACTTTTTACCTGAAATTATTAATTAACACAAACATGGATAGAAAAATCTGTGATCACCTGAAGATTACCAACCCCAGCTTATTTCCCCTAAAGATTAACCACCATAAATAAGCTTCACCTTATTCCAGGCAAATGGCGTTAGGGAGCTTAATATTTAAGTGAAATAAGCTGGGGTTGGTAATCTTCAGGTAATACAATGTTACTCCACAATATAATGAATAAGTTGACTGACAATTACCCCAAGTTGACCTGAGTCGAGGGTGCAGGTGTGGACACAAGGTCAGGTGCGGCAAATCACACATTGACCTCACATGACCCTGACCACCACCATCTCCTTTCTGGGTCAACTGGAAGATGCTCTCGAGGCGGTCAAACACTTCACCCCACCAATCAACTGCCGTCTTGAGTCTGTTGGATTAAATAACCACCTCCTATTGGTCAACACAATCAGAGGTCACCAATAGACTCCGCCCATCACCCTGGACAACCTTAGCCCCGTAGCCTTGCATTATCAGTATTTATCCAACTGTTGTGGTGGATGTGGTAGCTGTGGTGGATGTGGTAGCTGTGGTGGATGTGCTGACGTACTGAGAAGCCTAGTGAGTGTACAGGATACTTATATATGAACTGATGTGATATGACTTGACTGGAAGTACCCGCAATAACACCCTAGCTAATCCAACCTAAACTAACCTAACCTTAGAATGAGTTCGTTTCATGGTTCACCAAATGGAAGCCTCACAGGAACCCAGCTGAATCCCTTATCATCGAGTGATATAAATGGTAGTGAGGATGATGCAACACACGAATCTTTACCACCATCACCACAACACAGCACCAAGAGAAATAATACATCTCGTCACCCAATAACAGAGTTTGTGCCTGAAATGGATCGAAAACGGAGGAAAAACAGCTTGTACGCTAAGCCTTTACCACCTGCCAGCGAACAGCAAGATATACAACCTACTAACTCACTTCTTGGCGCACAATATCACCAGCATACAGGTAAATCATTGAATGGTTAGAATATATTAATAAATTACGATTGATTTAATATAATGCGAATAATCTTCAAATCCAGGTGAGATAAACTAGGGTGTCTAATCTTCAGGTCCAAAATTGACCTGACCTGACCTGACCTCTGGAACACCTGGGAAAAGTGACCGTGGTAATTTTAGGTCACAGAGCGGTTATGTTGGGTCAGGTGGGGTTGTTAGCGTTCATTGGTCGGAAGTTCACACTGTGTTGTGAAATTTGTGTGTGTGTGTGTGTAAGAAAGCATGCGTGTGTGTGTGTATGAAGAGAGAAACTGTGTGTAAGAGAGAGAGATAGACTGTGTGTAAGAGAGAGAGAGAGAGACTGTGTGTAAGAGAGAGAGAGTGAGATCAACAGCTAACCCCACCATTATTGTCTTTTCCAGGAAGAGTCAACAGTACCCCACACGCCTCCTCTTCTACCCTCCACCAGACACATCACCCCAGCCCTCGCTATGACGCCCCTGTGTTCTACCTGCCAGTGATCTTGTCTCCTTCAGGTACCCATTTACCACAACGACACGACGAATCTCTTTGTCATCTACAACAATCACAACTTCTACAACCACAATTGCAACAGTCAGGTCTACCACAACCACAATTGCAACAGTCACAACTTCTACAACCACAATTGCAACAGTCACAACTTCTACAACCACAATTGCAACAGTCACAACTTCTACAACCACAATTGCAACAGTCACAACTTCTACAACCACAATTGCAACAGTCACAACTTCTACAACCACAATTGCAACAGTCACAACTTCTACAACCACAATTGCAACAGTCACAACTTCTACAACCACAATTGCAACAACCACAACAAGTTCATAGTGGAAAGCCTTCTGTAGGTGCTGCCCGAAGACTGTCCTACGATAGTCCTCCTGATCCCTCATACGATAGCCTCTACAATCACCAGCACAACAACAATAAGCACAGGTGGGCAGGGGAACTGGATGCCCAATCATACCCAGGTGTTAATGAGTGTATCTCACCTGCTAATTGTCCCACCAGGTGTAGATCAACCAGATGTGTTTCTTCATTAAGTAATTTGATATCTAGATTGACAACAGGTGAATCGGTGCCTGAAGGTGAGTCCAGGTGTCCGGAGATGGTAGGTGCAGGTGTTGAGGTCTTAAGTGGATCTTTGGGCAAATCTAACAAGAAACGATGTACTGTGACGTCTTCAATGCCTTCTCCAACACCCAGTACACCATCTCCAACACCCAGTACACCATCGCCAACACCCAGTACACCATCTCCAACACCCAGTACACCATCTCCAACACCCAGTACACCATCTCCAACACCCAGTACACCATCGCCAACGCCCAAAATAGCTTCATTCCCGGTACCTGTTCGCTGGAAACGTGTACCCCAAAACCCAGTTCACGTGAGACTCATTGCCAGGAGGAAACTGAGGAATGAGAAGAGACAACAACAGTGCCCCATGTTTCCATTACCCGTTCGGTGGAAATCAGTTTACGAGAGAGTGAAGCAAAGGGAACCAGCTGGCGAATGTCCCGCTCTTATCCGCCCTGTCTCAGCCCCTACAGACGAGTGTGTAATAGCCAGACAAGAGGATAACGTAGATAGGATAAATAAGGAAATAAATGGGAAGAATAATGTAAATAACGAAGATAATAATGATATACACATGAATTCCGATGACGATAGTGAGTGAGACATTTACACACACCTGACACACACCTGATCCAATTTGGTTTACGGGAGGGTGGTAAAACAGGTGATTGGGGTCGTTGGAACATTGTCCTAATGAGTCCCCCCACATAGTTGACCTGACCTAAGATAATAGTAGGTCAGTTCAGATGACATGAAGATTAGACACCCCAGCTTATTTTCACGCAATTAAACACGTTAGGGTGTTTAATTATCAGGTGAATTAAGCTGGGGTGGAGAAACATGTACTTATTAGATAATTATGTCCTTCGATTAATAAATATATACTTATCAAACTACACAAGTACTTTTAAGACTATGTACTTATTCTGTACTCATATGAAGACCAATTACTTAAACCTGAATAAAAATATATTAAGTGAATAAAGTCTTAAATTTTATCCTACTTTAAAGATGCTTTAAAGATGCTTAAAGTAAATAAGTCTGAAAATTTTGTTGGAATTCTGGTAAGACTTGACCTGAAATAAGATGTTTTTTATGGTAAGTTATGGGGGTAAAATATTATTGGAACCTGGTGTAAAATAATATTGGAACCTGGTGTAAAATAATATTGGAACCTAGTGTAAAATAATATTGGAACCTGGTGTAAAATAATATTGGAACCTGGTGTAAAATAATATTGGAACCTGGTGTAAAATAATATTGGAACCTAGTGTAAAATAATATTGGAACCTAGTGTAAAATATTATTGGAACCTAGTGTAAAATAATATTGGAACCTAGTGTAAAATAATATTGGAACCTAGTGTAAAATAATATTGGAACCTGGTGTAAAATAATATTGCAACCTGGTGTAAAATAATATTGCAACCTGGTGTAAAATAATATTGCAACCTGGTGTAAAATAATATTGCAACCTGGTGTAAAATAATATTGCAACCTGGTGTAAAATAATATTGGAACCTGGTGTAAAATAATATTGGAACCTGGTGTAAAATAATATTGGAACCTGGTGTAAAATAATATTGGAACCTAGTGTAAAATAATATTGGAACCTAGTGTAAAATATTATTGGAACCTAGTGTAAAATAATATTGGAACCTAGTGTAAAATAATATTGGAACCTGGTGTAAAATAATATTGGAACCTGGTGTAAGAGGTAGTGTATAATCTCATTGGTGATTTAAGACTTCAGAAAGGATTCATATTTTGTTATTTGAGAGAGAGAGAAAGCTGCTACACACACTGGCTCTCGCTTTCACACACACATACGCACATCGAACCTTGACATACACTAATAATGCACAAACACTGCTGGGCGTTCCTGGAATGACTATCACTTTCATCTCTTGCAAGCATTCGCGGAACACCTTAATATTGACGTTTAATGAGTGATTTTCAATGCCAATACAGTCAAACAACCAATCAGATTGCACATTTTGTTGATAATCATTAAAATCAACCAATCATAATCTATTTGTTGATAGATGACGTCACATGTTATTGATGACGTCATGTAATCTTGAAAGCGTCAGCCATCTTAAATCAACCAATCATAATTACTTATTGACAAATAGATGACGTCATATAATCTTCAAATCATCCGCCATCTTTCTTTTGATTTGCGTAAATCTGGCCAATCAGAAACTGCCATTCTTGTAGTAAATACCTGTTGTCTTCCATTCATTCATAAATTCATACAATAGTTCCTAGAATCACTCGTAACTAAGCGACGGCGGCAATGTCACGCGATGGGGGACAAGACAGTGCTACGAGCCACCCTGCAACAAGGTAGGTCTTCGCACCTCTTTACAGTGTCACGCCAGGCCATATAACCTTCGGGTAGTGAGATCCCAGGTGCTCGTATCGGGGCTCAAGAGGTGTAAACTTAAGGGCCGCCTGAGGTTACCATGACTCAGTGTCCCTTGGGCGTCAGGAGAGGGTGGACATGCCCTCATCTTCCTCTTGTTTATAATACATTTAACCGACAAACTCTAAAAGGTAAACACAGATAATTTTAACCCACAACTTAAAACAACTAAAATATATAATAATTTCCAATAAAAAAAATTCATAAAACCCAATTATTAACGATTATTAAAAAAAAATCAATTATATTAATACAAATAATTCCCAAACACTAATTATTTCACCAAAAAAACGAAAATAATTAAAACCTAAAATAATGTTAACAAAATTTAACTAATAATAATAAAATAATAAGGTAATTGAATGCATAATATTGTATTTGTGGTGTTATATTGTGTCGTGCACCAGACAACCCCACGTGTATGAGAACATGCGAAGAACAAGTGGAAGAACGTGATGAACAGGTTGTGAAGGTGCGAAGAACAGGTAGTGAACGCTAGAACAGGTAGTGAACGTATGAAGAACAAGTTGAGAACGCGAGGTTAACAGGTTGTGAACATATACTGAACAACTGAAGAACGTGATGAACAAAGACAAAACGCATGAATTAAAAAAGAACATGAACTTCACCTACCCATGTGATATTTTCTCCAGCGAATCAACCAATCACAGGCTGTCCTGATTAACAAGACAGCCAATCAGACGCCGTTATTCCTTTTAGCCCACACCTGTTGCTGGCGTATCAACAGGGAACCAGACCAGCTTAGCCCAGCCGCCCTTGAGACCAGACCAGCCCAGCCCGGCCCTTGAGACCAGCCCAGCCCAGCCGCCCTTGAGACCAGACCAGACCAGCCCAGCCGCCCTTGAGACCAGACCAGCCCAGCCGCCTTGAGACCAGACCAGCCCAGCCGCCCTTGAGACCAGCCCAGCCCAGCCGCCCTTGAGACCAGACCAGCCCAGCCCCCTTGAGACCAGCCCAGCCCAGCCGCCGCCAGAGACCAGCCCAGCCCAACCGCCCTTGAGACCAGACCAGACCAGCCGCCCTTGAGACCAGACCAGCCAGCCGCCCTTGAGACCAGCCCAACCCAGCCCCCCTTGAGACCAGACCAGCCCAGCCGCCCTTGAGACCAGACCAGCCCAGCCGCCCTTGAGACCAGACCAGACCAGCCGCCCTTGGATAATTAATGGTTTGTTATTGCCCCTTAGAAAACAAAAATGCTTACGTAATTTTTATGTGATTTTATGGATAATTTTAACGTAATTTTTATGTGATTTTATGCATAATTTTTAACGTAATTTCAGATAAAATGATTATGATTGATATTAAATGTTTTTCGCGTTATAAATGACTCTGTTTGTTGCTGGGAGGGAATCAATTTATCTGAGTTTACTGTCACGGAAGGGGGTGTGTGGGGGGTAATGCATAGGTGTGTGGGGTGTGGGGGATGTGTATAGGTGTGTGGGGTGTGGGGGTTGTGTATAGGTGTGTGGTGTGAGGGATGTGTATAGGTGTGTGTGGTGTGGGGGATAATGTATAGGTGTGTGTGGGGTGTAGGGTGTGGGGTGTGGGGTGTGTGTGTGTAGGTATGTGTGGGGTGGTGTGTGTGTGGGTGTGGGGATGTGTGGGTGTGTGTGGGGTGTGGTGTGTGGGGTGTGTGTGTGGGGTGTGTGGGGTGTGTGGGGTGTGGTGGTGTGAGATGCGGTGTGTGGGGTGTGGTGTGTGGGGGGGTGTGGTGTGTGTTGTGGTGTGTGGGGTGTGTGGTGTGTGGGTGTGTTGTGAGGTGTGTACAATGTGTGGGGTGTGTGTGTGAGGGTGTGAGTGTGTGGGGATGCAGGGTGTGTGGGGTGTGGTGTGTGGGGTGTGGGTGTGCTGTGAGGTGTGTGGGGTGTGTGAGTGTGTGAGGTGTGTTGTGAGTGTGTGGGGTGTGTGGATGTTTGGGTGTGTGAATGTGTGAGGTGTGTGGGTGTGTGGGGTGTGGTGTGTGGGGTGTGGTGTGTGTGGGTTGTGGTATGTGTGGGGGTGTGAGTGTGTGAGGTGTGAGTGTGTGGGGTGTGAGTGTGTTTGTGAGTGTGTGAGGTGTGTGGTGCTGTTGGTGGTGTGTGGGGTGTGGTGTGTGGGGATGTGGTGTGTGGGTCTGTGTGGGTGTGGTTTGTGGGTGTGTGGGGTTGGTGTGGGGTGTGTGGGGTGTGTGGGGTGTGTGTGTGTGTGGGGTGTGTGGGGTGTGGGTGTGTGGGGTGTGTGGGGTGTGGAGTGTGTTTGTGGTGTGTGGGTTTGGGGTGTGTGTGAGTTTGTGAGGTGTGTGGGTGTGTGGGGTGTGTGGTGTGTGGGGTGTGAGTGTGTGGGTGTGGTGTGTGGGGTGTGTGTGTGTGTGTGCGTGTGTGTGTGTGTGTGTGGTGTGTGGTGTGGGGTGGTGTGTGGTGTGGGGTTGTGTGTGTGTGTGGGGTGTGTGTGGTGTGGGGTTGGTGTGGGGTTGGTTGGTGGGGTGGTGTGTGTGTGTGGGGTGTGGGGTGTGGGTTGGGTGTGTGGGGTTGGTGTGTGGGGTGTGTTGGTTGGGGTTGTGGGTTGGTGTGTGTGTGTGTGGGGGTGTGTGTGTAGGTGTGGTGTGTGGTGTGTGGTGTGTGGGGTGTGTGGGGTGTGGTGGGGCATGGGTGTGGTGTGGCCTTGGGGTGTTGATTGTTGTGGTACTACTTTACCCAGATGAGATAGTGGTGTACTCTTGCACCACAAGACGTACATAGAGACACCGACATATAAACACACACACACACACACACACACCCTATCACTCTCACAGACACAAACACACACACACGCACACCCTATCACTCCACAGACACTCACACACACACACACCACACACACCCTATCACTCACACACACACACACACACCACTCACTCACTCCTCCTCCTATCAGATGGACAATCATTATAACCACCCCAACATACACCACGAATTGCCACAGCTTGTACACCTGAATTAACCACCCCAGCTTGTACACCTGAAAAGATTAACCACCCCAGCTTATTACACCTGAAGATTAACCACCCCAGCCTTACACCTGAAAGATGTAACCACCCCAACATTACACCTGAAAGTGCCACAGCTTAGCCACCTGAAGATTAACCACCCCAGTTTATTTTTACCAGAAAGATTAACCGCCCCAGCTTATTTTTTACCCAGAAGATTAACCACCCCAGCTTATTTTTTGCAGAAAGATTAACCACCCCAGCTTATTTTACCAGAAGATTAACCACCCCAGCTTATTTTTTGCAGAGATTAACCACCCCAGCTTATTTTTACCAGAAGATTAACCACCCCAGCTTATTTTTACCAGAAGATTAACACCCCAGCTTATTTTTACAGAAGATTAACCACCCAGCTTATTTTTTACCAGAAGATTAACCACCCAGCTTATTTTGCCAGAAGATTAACCACCCCAGCTTATTTTTGCAGAGATTAACCACCCCAGCTTATTTTTACCAGAAGATTAACCACCCCAGCTATTTTTACCAGAAGATTAACCACCCCAGCTTACCAGAAGATTAACCACTAGCTTATTTTTACCTAAAGTACATAGCCATTCCAGCTTATTTCCTGAAGATTAACCACCCCAGCTTATTTCACCTGAAGATTAAACACAGATTATTTCACCTGAAGATTAACCACCCCAGCTTATTTCACCTGAAAGTTAACCACCCCAGCTTATTTTTACCAGAAGATTAACCACCCCAGCTTATTTCACCTGAAGATTAACCACCTCAGCTTATATCACCTGAAGATTAACCACCCAGCTTATATCACTTGAATGATTAACCACCCAACATTTCACTTGAATGATTAACCACCCCAGCTTATTTCACTTGAATGATTAACCACCCAGCTCCCAGTCCAACTTCACTACTACGTCTTGACTTACGAGAAACTTCCCTCCTGCTAACTTTAGACAGACATTGTAGCTACATCAACAAAGCTCACCCACTACCTGCACAGGTGTACCAAATTGGGTAATCAATATCTCCCGTGGTCACCTGTGTGTGTGTGTGTGTGTGTGTGTGTGTGAGTCATATGTTGGGATTACAGGATGTTAAAAGCTTGGGTACAGGATGTTACAGGCTTGAGATACAGGACATTACAGGCTGGGGTACAGGTTGTTGAAGGTTACAGGCTTAGATACAGGACATTACAGGCTGAGGTACAGGTTGTTGAAGGTTACAGGCTTAGATACAGAACACTACAGGCTTTGGTACAGGTTGTTGAAGGTTACAGGCTTAGATACAGGACATTACAGGTTGTTGAAGGTTACAGGCTTAGATACATGACATTACAGGCTGTGGAGTGCATGTTATTCACTACTGAGAGCCGCCACTACATAGTGTATTATTCATAGGGCGGGGGATAGCTCGATATAACTGGGGTAGGGGGGGGTAGTCAAATAGGGGGAGGGAGAGGGGGGTGGAGGGAGAGGGGGAAGTGGAGGGGAGAAAAGATGGAAGAGTGGTTAGGTGAAGTAATTCCTCAAGTGTTGGGGGTGGAGGGGAAGAAGAGAGAGGGGGGGGGGAGGGAGGGAAGGTTCGACAATCTACTGAACTATTTAAGTGACATTGTGTAGGAACACTTTTCACTTTACTAACCAATTATTTCTCGCTCTAGCAGTCATACCAATGTTGTGTGTTCACCTTGAAGGGGTGTAGGCGCCCTTGGCAACACTGCAGAAGCCCTGGCATCAAGAAACCCTGACCTCACATAAAAAAACCCTGACATCACATAAAGAAACCTTGACATCACATAAAAAAAACCTGACATCACATAAGGAAACCCTCTCAACCATTTATCCATCTCACACTAAAGCTCTTACTTACCTTGCAGGGGTAGGAGGAGGAGGAGGGTAAGGGACCATGAACCAGCCACCATCTTGCGAGCAGGTGATGTTGGGTCAGCCATACACCATTGACCCTATCAGCATGCAGCTATACCCTTCCACCTGCCTCCAGAATTATGTCTTCGTTAGTACCTGCTGTTTTAAAATTACTAAGGGGTTCTGGGGGGGGGGTTAAGGGGTTCTGGGGTTTTTAAGGGAGTCTGAGGGTTTTTTAAGGGGTTCTGAGGGTGTTTTAAGGGGTTCTGAGGGTGTTTTAAGGTGTTTTTTTCAAAGAAGGTCTGAAGGATTTTAAGGGGTTCTGAGGGTGTTTTAAGGTTTTTATTAATGTACAGTACAAACACTTTCTCTTAATTAATCCACAAACACACTTTCTCTCACCTAACAAACTCACTCTCAGTCCACAAACACTATCATTATCAACACACAAACACACTATTTCAAAGTTAATGTACATACACACTTTCCCTCATTTCACAAACATATTTCTCTCAATTAACACTCACTCTCTCTCAGTTCACAAACAAACAGTATCATTATCAACACACAAACCCACTTAAACTCACTTTCTAGGTTAATACACAAACACATTTTCACGTCAAATTAATCATTATAATTTTTTTTCACAGCAACAAACCTCCACCGCCCCTTCTGCTCCACCACTATCCGATCCAACCTCTCCTAACAATACCCCAGGGGCTAACAATACCCCAGGGGCTAACAATACCCCAGGGGCCAACTATACCCCAGGGGCCAACTATACCCAGGATTGGAACCATTACGGCCTCAACCCCATCACCAACCTTCACCAAATCTACCTCAGTTATCGGAAAGGTCAGTTAGGTTGGGTCGAGCTGAGGTGAGGTGATGATAGTGACAATGATATACAGCCAACACCAATCTAACCCCTCCTTGGTCTCCTCAGATAACGCATACGTCTTCACCGACACCACCCAGAATTTACTGTACACGGCGATTATCGATATGGAGACGTCGTGCTTTTGCATCAGTTTGGAAAAGGGACCGGGAGTAACCTTCAATCTAGCCAGCAGAAATGGCCAACACGTTCTGGACATTCACCGCCACACCGAAATTTCTTGCTGTTCCTCCTTAGAGATGGCAAGTATCATACAGTCCCCTTCAACTAGTGTGTTTACAGGTACTCGTCGTGTAAACAACTCACAAATTATCTTAGACCTATTGTTTTGATTTGATTGTGTTTACTATTGTGAGTTTCCCTCTGTCGAATGTAAATAAACACAAGATTGCCGCCACATTGCACAAAATCTGATCAGCTCTTGTAAATGCACTAGTGAAGGGGAGTGTAGCCCCTCTCCTCTCTGGCCTCTCTCCCATACTACTGAATCTGTTTTTCTATTACAGTTGATTTACAGATACTTACCTCTAGATGCTGCTTCAGATATACAATTTCATCCATCGCTAAATTATCATGACTCCCACTTCATCCATTACTAAAAAAGACATCCATTTCATCCATTGCTAAAGACACCCATTTCATCCATGACTAAAGACACCCATTTCATCCATGACTAAAGACACCCATTTCACCCATTGCTAAAGACACCCAATTCATCCATTGCTAAAGACACCCAATTCATCCATTGCTAAAGACACCCATTTCACCCATCACTAGACACCCATTTCATCCATCACTAAAGACACCCATTTCATCCATCACTAAAGATACCCATTTCACCCATCGCTAGACACCCATTTCATCCATCACTAAAGACACCCATTTCATCCATCACTAAAGACACCCATTTCACCCATCGCTAGATACCCATTTCATCCATCACTAAAGACATCCATTTCACCCATCGCTAGATACCCATCACTAAAGACACCCATTTCATCCATCACTAAAGACATCCATTTCACCCATCGCTAGATACCCATCACTAAAGACACCCATTTCATCCATCACTAAAGACATCCATTTCACCCATCACTAAAGACACCCATTTCACCCATTGCTAAAGACATCCATTTCATCCATCACTAAAGACACCCATTTCATCCATCATAGATACCCATCACTAAAGACACCCATTTCACCATCGCTAGACACCCATCAGAAGACACCCATTTCAACCATCACTAAAGACACCCATTTCACCCATTGCTAAAGACACCATTTCACCCATCACTAAAGACACCCATTTCACCCATTGCTAAAGACACCCATTTCCTCACCCATCACAAAGACACCCATTTCACCCATCGCTAAAGACACCCATTTCATTCATCACTAAAGACACCCATTTCACCCATTGCTAAAGACACCCATTTCACCCATTGCTAAAGACACACCCATTTCAACGCATTGCTAAAGACAATCTATTTCACCCATCACTAAAGACACCCATTTCACCCATCACTAAAGACACCCATTTCACCCATTACAAAGACACCCATTTCACCCATCACTAAAGACACCATTTCACCCATTGCTAAAGACACCCATTTCACCCATCACTAAAGACACCCATTTCCTCACCCATTGCTAAAAGACAATTCATTTCACCCATCACTAAAGACACCCATTTCACCCATTGCTAAAGACACCCATTTCACCCATCGCTAAAGACATCCATTTCATCCATCACTAAAGACACCCATTTCATCCATCACTAAAGACACCCATTTCATCCATAACTAAAGACACCCATTTCATCCATCACTAAAGACACCCATTTCACCCATTGCTAAAGACACCCATTTCATCCATCACTAAAGACACCCATTTCACCCATCACTAAAGACATCCATTTCATCCATCACTAAAGACACCCATTTCAACCATCACTAAAGACACCCATTTCAACCATCACTAAAGACACCCATTTCAACCATCACCAAAGACACCCATTTCAACCATCACTAAAGACATCCATTTCAACCATCACTAAATAACTAAAGATTCTCATTTGACATTAATCCTTGCCTCTGGTCACAGTTCGTCACCACCACCATCTCCCCAGACATCACCTTGGGCACAGTGGAGGGAACTAGGGACTACTTTACCCTCAGCAATGTATCTGGGGACGTGCTGTGTGAGGTTGTCAAGGAGGAGGAGAGATGTTGTATGTGTCGATCAGCACCATACCAGGTAGATAGATGGATAGATGAGTAGATAGATAAATAGATATCCTGTAGATAGATACAGAGATACTATAGATAGATAGATAGAGAGATCGGTACAGTATAGATGTTTATACAGTAAAATTATCATATAAATTTACATTGACTCAATATTTATAGGAGGTATACAGTTGAGCATGTATATTAGGGGCAG